CCTGTGCAGATGTGGAGTTGTCATCCTGGATGGCCAGTCTACAGCCCCTCGCTGTGACCTCCTCCGCCTTCTGGGCCCCCGAAGCCAGACCCTGTTCTCTCCCCAGGGCAGGGTGGTTTCTGCCTGGGCTGCAAGGAGGTCTCCCCTTTCTTGGGGCAGTGTTCTCCCTCCAGGCTGGAGCCTGGCTTCTCCAGTGTTTTCAGCTTGGTCATGAGGCAGTTTTCCCGGCCATCGGGGTCACTGCAATTCCAGACCCATCAGGCTCTCCCAGTAGCTCCCCTGGGCCCTGGGGCTGTGGTCACACGGAGGCGATGGTTGCCATCAGAGGTCACCAGCTCCTCCTGTCCACCGTGGGTCATCTGGGGCCTGGGGTCCAGCCCCACATCCCAGGCCTCTAGGTGTGGGGCTGCGTTACTCCCGGGAGGCCAGGGCCAGGGGCCCTGTTTTGCTGAACCAGCATCCGGGTTCAGACCCTTCTCAGGCCAAAGCCTTTGTATCTCAAGTCATCAAAGGTTCCTGAGCTTTTAGCAGGTTGAGTCTAATGCCAGCTCTGTAGCCAGAGAGAGTCACAGTTACCTTGAATGAAAAGGGCGTTCACTTTATGGCAAAACGTCTGCGACCCCATGATCGGGTTCAGGCAACAAGGAGCAAGAGCCCTGTGCCATGCAGGAGCCTGGTGATCAGAGCTGGGACGTGACCCGGCTGGCTCAGATAAGCAGTGGGCGGGCCTTGTGTGCAGCGGGTCTGAGACCCTGGGCTTGGCTGGGCTCCTCTGCTGGGCTGAGCAGGGGTCTCTCCAGGTTGCGTCTGCTCTTCCCCCCGGTACCCACAGACCCCTGTGACGGCAGTGGACACTCCCTGAGCCATGGGACCCCTGCTATTCTGAGGTACAGCCGTGCCGGCCCGCTTTGGCCGCTGCGTTAGGCCATCCAAGGGATATGGGCTTTTTCGAGCAGCTGAGAGTTGGAGGGAAGGCGTAGGGGCAGGGCCGGTGTGCGACCCTGCCGGGACGTGAGAGGAGAAATCATCAGGGTTGCCTGGCTCACCAGGCACAGGTGTCCCCGTGAGAGGAGGGCCCTCGGCCTCCCTGAGGTGCAGGCAGAGCTGCTGCGCCCCAGACCCAGTGTGCGTGCTGTCGGTGGGGATTTCAGGCCAGAGGCCCGCGGACAGGCTCCTGGAGGGCTCCTCGCTGTGTGAAGATGTCCCAGCAGAGGGGCGGTGACGGGATCCAGCACCCCAGATCAGAGGCTCCCCAAAGTGTGGTCCGGAACTCAGGGTTCGGTGCCCAGATCGTGAGTGCAGGGCGCCCTGCAGTGAACAAGAGATGCCCGTTTCTCCATTGTGCCAGGAGCGTCTGGTACCACCAAGGCCTGGAAGGGGGTCAGTGTCTCATGCACCCGCCAAGTTGGAGCCTTCACTGGGAGTTGTGCAGCCCCCGCACACTTTGCCTGCCCGGCAGCACAGCTTGAAGCTCCTCCCCCGGGCTGCTGGCAGCCAGCGCAGCCACCATTGACGCGGGTTGTTCCCTAGGTATGTGCAGGAGGTTATGCGGCGGGGACGCGCCTGTGTCAGGCCAGCGTGTGCGCCGGTGCTGCGCGTGGTACCAGCCGTGTCGGACATGGAGCTCTCCGAGACAGAGTACGTGCGTCCCGAGGGTCCTCCCGGTCCTGCCCACCCCGGCCCGGGCGTCCTAAGCCAGGTCCAGTGGTAGAGCTGCCATCCTGGGCCCCGAGATCGGGCAGCACGCTTGGAAGCAGCTGTGGAAGGACAGGGTCCCGGCGGCCTCAGACTCCAGGCTCCTCTAGAGCCTTCTCCCGTCTCCAGCAAAGGGGAGGCTGACCAGCGTGACAGCAAGTGACCAACAGGCCGGCAGGAGGCCTGGGCACCACAGCCAGGCCTGCTGAGGGGCAGAGACCCTCCCCTGCCCGGCTTGGAACTGGCTGGTCCCTGCCAGGCCTGGCTAGAGCGTGGCCGGGGCTGCAGGCGCGGGGGTGCCGATGTGTGGCTACTTGCAGTGTGGGTCTGGGCCACTGTGTGCGTCCGTCCCGCCAGCTCAGTCAGCGAGGCTGGGCGCTGCCCCACCTGGAACGCTGACCACTCCGAGCCCTAGGGAGAAAGGCTTGCCGTGTTGACAGCACGTGATTCCACCTGTGCTGTCTGCTCAAGGCAGCAGGAGGAGGGCACACCCCAAAGACAGGCCTTGACAACAGGGCCCAGGGTGCTGATCCCTTGCGGCTCTTGTCCTTCAGGCACGCTGGGGTGGCCTTCACATGTCCCTGGGGAAGCCCCCACATGTTGGCTTTTCTTTGATGGGCCTGACTCCAGGGGGCTCTGAGGATGTGGCAGGGGACAAAGTCCAAGGATGCAGCTGGCTGGGGGCCTGGGGTGCGAAGTAGATGGTCACATGGCTAAGGTGACCCCGTGGCCTTCCTGCCATGACGCTGGCTCTGGAAGCCTCTCATGCACCCAGCCAGGAGGAGACCCAAGGCCTGAACCCCAGTGATCCAGGGGCAGCTTCTGGAGCCGTCTGAGGGACCTGGGGGTGGGGGTGGGGCGCGAGAGCAAGCGCCCTGTCATCCTGGCACGGCTGTGTCCGCTAACACCTGCAGGAGGAGGGCTCAGCCCGGCCTGGGCAGGAGACGGTGGCAGCTTTGCCCCCCCTCGGAAGGGACTGCTCGCCGCCACCCTTGGTCCTGCAGAGTCAGGCTCACCCGGAAACCTTGCACTTGTTCGTTAATCCTTGCCTTTTAGCTGTGGTTAAAGTTAGAGGGGTGCAGGTCTTCCTGGGATGGGAGCCATGCAGCCTGCCCCGCCATCGTAGAGCGCGGAGCTGTGGCGGCCCCGTGGCCAGGCCCCAGCCAGTGGAGGGCTGCGAGCTAGTGGGGGAAACCTTTGTGCTCACAGTGAGTGGAGCTGGTACTGGACTAGACCGCAGTTTGAGATGTGGGGGGTGGGCAGCGGGGCCTGGGCCCCAGGTGTTTGAGTGGCATGCAGCTCACCCCCATGGCCCTGCCCTGCCCTTTGCTGGCAGCCTGAGGTCAGCGGGAGGCACCCTGTGGGACCTCAGTCCAGATCCAGGGACCACTGCTGCATCTCTTTCCCCAGGGCCAGGTCGCAGCGGAAGGCAGGCGGCGGGAGCACCCAGGCGTGCGACAGCATCGTCGTGGCGTACTACTTCTGTGGGGAGCCCATCCCCTACCGAACGCTGGTGAGGGGCCGCGCCATCACCCTGGGCCAGTTCAAGGAGCTGCTGACCAAAAAGGGCAGCTACCGGTGAGTGTACGGCCGGTGCCCCCTCCCCGCAGGGTATGTGGGTGCCCAAGGGCATAAAAAAGTTTCCTGCCATTTCATCTCTAGTCACTCATCACACCTGAGCCACCTCTCCAAGCTTTGGGCTGAGGGTGGCATCAGGCCTTCGGCCCCCCACAGGACTGAGCGGCTCTGAAGGGACCCCATCCAGGGCCTTCATCTTGTGGGCGGGGACACAAGATGGTCTGCACCTCATGCCGGGCTGTGGAGACTGCAGAAGCCGGGCGCCTCCTGCCAGGGTTCGCCCTGGGCCGCTCAGCCCTGCGGGGCTCTGCCTGAAGCCAGCGCTGGAGGCTCCATTAGCACTGGTGGGTGAGCAGAGGGGGCCTGACCCACAGAGCCCAGCAGAGCCTGGCAGGTGGTTCCCTCTGTCCATAAGCGACTGTGCAGACGCCCCAGGCGTGTGGTGCTGAGGGAGGGCCCCGTCTGGAGCCACCGCCACAGGGCTCAGCCCTTGGGAAGGAGACACTTCCCCCTGCAGCTGCTTAGAGGCCCGTGCAGGCACTCCCGGGGGGATGTTGGGTGCCTCCCACCCATGGCTGCCCCCGTCACCCACACGTGGTTGTTGCACACTGTGGCTCTGGGAGTAGCGCACACACGGGGGTGGGGGGCATGGGGCATGGACAGGAGGCTCCCCGGGCGGGGCCTGTGGACACCCTGTCCCCTGCTCCTCCGTCTGCGGCGCTGTCTGCTCACTTGCTCACCTCCATCCTGCAGATACTACTTCAAGAAAGTGAGCGACGAGTTTGACTGTGGGGTGGTGTTTGAGGAGGTCCGAGAGGACGGGGCCGTCCTGCCCGTCTTCGAGGAGAAGATCATCGGCAAAGTGGAGAAGGTGGACTGACTGGCTGGCCACGGCGCCAGTCTAGGCCCTCGGCGGGCACAGGCGTGGCACGCAGGTGTCACAGCCAGGGGTGAGCGGTACTCAGCCCTGCGGGGAGCAGTGCGGGCCTGTGGCCCACCCCTGCAGTCTGCCTGTTTCTGGGTGGGTGGGGTCCCTCCACCTGCCCTACAGGCTTCTCTCCTGCCCCCAAGGAGGCAGCCCTGACCACTCCCCACAGCAATACTTGGAGGGGGCAGCCGAGGTCCCTGCTGCGGGCTTCAGGTGATCCCCGGCGCCTCCCCTGGGCACGCGTGTGCTGGGAGCTGCTTCCCCCTCTGGGATTTGCCCACGTACTCTGGTCTGGCTGGGCCCAGGCCTGGGCACAGGGGCCCGCAGGGCCTATGTCATTTGTACGCGCCACCGAGTGCCTTCACCACAGCTTGTCTCTTGCCTGCCACTGTGCGAGTTGGCGACAGAGCGCTGTGCCTGCCTCCCCCCGCCGGCTGCGCAGTCCCGGGTCCTCCTTTCTCAGGGCCCGTGTAAATATGTACATTTCTCAGGCCAGGGCCAGCAGGGGCTGCCCAAGCCCGTTTTTCATGCGCTGACACTTGGACAATTATCTTTTCAAAGGTACTTGGGTAATAATGAAATAAAACTGTTTTTGCACCTGCGCTGGCTGTGCTTTATCCGCTGCTGCTGCGGCCTGGTGGTGTCTCCCAGTCTCAGCCTACCCGGTAAAAGAGGTCACACTGGCCTCAGCGGGCATGGGGGCACCCTGGAGCACAGAGCCTGGCAGAGCTGGAATGGAGCCCCCAGCTGGGCACACCTGCACCATCCAGCCTTGCTCAGGGACCAGGCACACGTAGTCCAGAACCAAGCTCTTTATTACAGTGCACGGCACCCGAGGGGGCTGCCTCCCTTCCAGCGGTGTTGTGGGGGACACGGGGACACTACAGCTCCTCCTTGGACCCCACAGTGGAGTTGGCGGGTGGCTCCTATAAAGGGGCACAGGTGCAGCTCGAAGCTTTGCTCCCAGCCTGGCCCTGCCCCTGCCCCTGCCCCGCCAACCCTGTATAGAGGATTTGGGCAGAGGCCTGGAGCCCTGGCTTAGGGATACCCACCGGGGATGGGGGTGCCAGCTTCTCCAGGGGCTCCTCCATGGGCAGCTCGCCCCCGTTGTCCAGGAACTTGGACAAGGTCTCCAGGTCCCTGGTGCTTTTGTATTCAATCACCTGAGGAGGGGCAGGAGGACACGCCAGGGCCCAGCCCCACATACATGCAGGAAGATGGCATCCCGGCTTCCCCAGCCACCTGACCCCCCCCATACCTTCCGACCCGGCCCTGCTGGGAAGTACTTGAGGGTAGGGAAGCCATGCACGGTGAAAGCGTCCAGCTCGTTGGCCGTGGCATCCAGCTCAGCGATGATGATGTCCTCGTGGTCTTCGTACTTCTCGGCCAGCGCCTCCCAGGCAGGGGCCATCTCCTTGCAGTGAGTGCACCAGGGGGCATCTAGGATGGGAGCCCTTGAGCGCGGCCACCCGGGCACCCCCTGCCCGGCCCATGCACTCCCTGCCTCCCTCAGCACTCACAGAACTTGACAAACACGTTCTTGGTTTCATCAAATGCCACCTGCTCAAAATTCTTGCCCACGAGGGTCTTAACTGGCCGCTGATCCCAGTCAGGGGGTACCTCCTGGCTCAGAAGATAGGGCTGGGGGGAAACCAGGCCAGGCACTTTGCCAGGAATCCTCCGAAGGGCTGGTGGGGGGATCCTCTGCGGGGTTGGGGGGGGGCCAGGACCTCGGCAGGGTCGGGGGCGCCCCTCCGCAGGGTGGGTGTTCTGAGAGCTGCTCTTCCCATCCCCTACCAAGCTGGTGGGATGAGGTCATGGCCCCCGCCCGCTGTGAGAAGTCTGCAGCCAACCTTCACTTGGCCGTTGAGGACTGCGTGGCAGAAGGCAGTGACAGAAGTAGCAGTGACAGGGTCCCCGTCCACGGGAGCGTACTTTTTGGTGGTCTCAACGTTGACCAAGCGCAGGGTGGGGGCTGCCTCAGCCTTGAGGCCAAAGTACCGCAGCACGTGCTCATTATCGGCCGCCACGTCCACCACCACGAACAGCACCTGTGGCACGGAGGCCACGCTAGCACCCCCACTGTCCAGCTGTCCCTCCACCCCCCAGACCCCCAGTACCTGCCCCCGGAAGTGAGGAGCTGCCTCCCCAAAGCCTGTGAGGAGCTCCCTGTGCGCAGCCAGTGACTGGTTGAGGAACAGCAGCAAGTGATTGAGGATCCTGGCAGCGAAGATCTTGGAGGACGTCTGCAGTAGGGAGGGTGCTCGTGTCCGCAGCCCAGGCACCCCCAGCTCCGGCTCGTCAGCAGGAGGGTGCTCAGGACTCCCTGGGGCCCCCAGCCCAGACACCACCATCCCTGGACTCCTCCGCCCCAGAACACCCCCTCCCCGGGCACTGCAGCCTGCACACCTGAGTGTTGAACTCCGTGACCAGGCGCATGCTGTGCGTGACCAGGAAGCGCGACAGATCGCCCAGGTCCAGGCCAAGCTCCTCGTCCACTGGGAAGTCCGCGCGCCCCTCATCAAACTGGACAGCGGCAGGTGGCTCAGCAGGAGCCACAGCCGGACCCCAGCCCCCCCATCTGGGCCTGACCTACCTTCTTAAAGAGGACCACGGTGTCCTTGGTGAGGCCAAAGTGCTGGAAGAGCTGCGGCCGGTCCGTGAGGCCAAAGGTCACGTCCAGGGCGTCCCGGGCCAGGGCCAAGAAGGTGGCCACGTCCTCATCCTGCAGGTCCTGAGGGGCCCGGTGCTGTGAGGCCACCAGGTCCCGCAGTCGCTGCCCCCATAGCCTGGTGCCCCGTGCCCGGTGACTCACCTGGAAGAAGCCGATGACCACCAGGTCCCGGGCATCGATCAGCGCCTGGGCACTCGCCTCGTCTTCCAGCCGCGTGGCACTGGGCCCCACCCGCCGTCGCAGCCACTCTACGATGTGCTCTGCTTCCCGTGGTCCTGCAGGGAGCTCCCTTCAGCCTGGGCCTGGCCACCGCCCCCCGCCCCGAGACCGACCTGCCCCGCACCCGTGTACTCCTCTGGGTGTGTGCGGTTCCCGTGGCGGAAGAACTTGAGCGTGGGGTACTCGGTCACGCCAAACTCATCGGCCAGCTCCAGCTGCGCGGGGCCGTCCACTTTGGCCAGCGTGACCGCCATCGACTCGGCCGCTACCAGGGCAGCTGCCTTGCTGTACTCGGGGGCCAGGGCCTTGCAGTGCCCACACCATGGGGCGTCTGGGGACGGGTCTGTGAGTGCCCCAGGCCGCCGCAACCCCAGCAGCACCCTCCCCGCACCAGACAACCCAGCAGGGAACAAGCGTACTCCTTAGTTCTGCCAAGCCAAGCACCAGCACCCCCTCGCAGCCCCCCAGGCTGTGGCACAGGGACCAGCATGGCTTGGTCCAGCTGGAAAGACCCCTCCCTTTCCTGTCCCGTAAGGTCGGGGCTCCTGGGCTCAGGTGGCTGCCTGTGAAGGCCTCCTAGGAGAGAACGGTTGCTACGTGTGTCAGAGGTTGTGAAGAGACCACAGGGCACATACATCAGGGACCTCCAGGCCTGAAAATGGCCGCGGCCTCTGCAGTGTCTGTGGAAGGCCCCACTGGCAGAGCAGGGAGGTCCAGGTGCTCTCGTGTCCTGTGGGTACCCCCACTGCTCCTGCCTGCCCCAGCCAGACCCCAGGCCCCTCCTAGAGAGCTCTGCGGCCCAGTGGGGGTAAGCGCCTGAGGGGAGGCCTCTCTTGGGCATGTGCCTTGCATTTACAGGCAAAGGGTGTGGGTCCCAGCGGGCCCTGCCCGTCCCCAGTCCCACTGGCCCCGGCACTCACAGAACTCCACCAGCAGGCCAGGGTGCTCCCGCAGAGCCAGGCCCAGGGTGTGGCGGCTCAGCACCAAGATCCCATCCTCCTTGGGGATCTCCTCTGGAGGCTCCTCTGAGGGACTCTCGGGCCCCTGCTCCTGACCCCACGAGCTCGAGGCCCCAAGCAGCAGGAGCAGAAGCTGCACAGGCAGGAGTTGGCGGCTCATGGTGCTGCCAGGGCCCATGGGGCAGGGGCAGATAAGGGGGCCAGAAGCCAAGCAGCAGCTGCCACGTAGCACCCAGGCCTTGTCCCAACAAAGATAAGGCCCATGTGCCCCCCCCCCCAGTCCCCAGGGACGGGAGGCAGAAAGAGGCGACACGCAGGGCACCGAGGCAGGACTACATTTAATGGGACAGTCGGGGGACAGTGCCAGCCCAGGGGATCCTGGGACAGAGCAGGGGTGGGCAGGGGAGGGTCTGGTCACTCATGGGGATACTGGGGATGCTTGGGGGTCCCTGTGCAGCAACTGAGCAAGGTGGGGAGACACGGACTGGGGGGGTTCAGTCCTTCCAGTCCTGGCAGACGTGGAGGCCCCACTCCCAGGACAGGTGGCGTGTCCTGTCATCGTCCGTGAAGAGTGACAGGACCAGATAGGGGCCCCGCACCAGTGCACCCCTCGGCGCTTCCTCCACCGGAGTCACAAACTCATACTCCTGGGCACTCGGGCCATAGCTGCCCACCATGTAGACGGTCTTGTCCACTAGAGAGGGCGGGGGCATCAGGGCTGTCCTCTGCCCACCCCTGCTGCCTCCCCTCCCCGCCCAATTCCCCCAACCGCTGCCCTCACCGCGCAGGCCCCGGCGGTAGGTGTGGTGCAGACACTTGAGGCCGCTGACGATCTCCCTGTGGACCTGGGAACAGAGGCGCTAGGGGTTCCCCTGGGGGCCAGGCCTCTGGCTGTTGCCCCTCCCACTCCCCTCACAGCTCCGGCCCTGCAGCCGCTCTCACCTTAAAGGTGATCTTCACTCTGTAATCAACACCTTCTTTCAGGACAAACACCTGGTCTTTCAGGGCAGCCAGGTCCCCTATTCGGGAAATGGCAGCTAGGGTCACAACTTCTCCACAGGCGACACCTGCTCCAGGAGCCCCCACATGGGGAGTGGTGCCCACGAGGTCTGCGGTTGTGATGGCCCAGAGTACGGGGTGTGGGGTGTGGGGCACAGGGGCACAGAAGCCCGCCCCGGAGGGCCCCACCTGTATTAAGGGCACAGCATCCTGCAAGTTACCTGTGAGGTCCATGACCACGGGCCCCGGAGCCTGCTCCGACAGGAGGGTCAGCCTGGTCACCTGCACGTTGGGCAGGCTTGGGTCTGAAGAGAAACTGGTAGTCTACAGGATGCCCCCCGGCCCCCTGCCAGCCCCCCAGACCCAGCCCTCCAAGCCCAGGCCCCTGCCGTACCCACAGCCGGCGGCAGGGGCCCCAGCAGTGCCCGCTTATACTGGGCCAGGCTCCTGTCTTCCGGATCCAGCCGCTGTATCTCCAAGAGGCTCTTCCTCCCTGGCGCCCGATACTCAGGCATGGCCTCATCCAGCACCTCGTCCACTGCCGGCGGCCCACCCTCCTTGTCAGCCAGGAGGACTGGGGGTGGGGAGGGGCATGAGCAGCTGCTACTAGCAGACCCTGGCATTCAAGCGCAAAGCTGGAGCCCCTCGGGCCAGCTGTACCTCCCGCTACCCAAAGAGACTTAAGGGGAAGGCTCTCAGGGCTCAGGGAGAGAGCCGGTGGAGAGGGCAGGGGTGGCCTGGGGAGGTACAACACCACACCCAGACCTTAGGAGGGGCCCTCCAGATACCGCCAGGCCTGCAGCTCCTCCAGTCTGGATGGCCACAAGTCCCCCTCTCTGACTGAGACCAAAGGTTCGGGGAGTGAAGGCTCCAAATGAGGGCAGCCCAGGGTCGGGGGTGGGGTGGGGGGGGTCTACCTGCTGGAGAGCCGCAGCCCAGGGTGGGGGGGGGCACCTGCTGGAGAGCAGCAGCCCTCAGCGGCCTCCCACCCCTGGTGGTCCTCCAGGTCTCTACCAGCCTGCTCTGGGCTGGGGTCTCTCAATACTTTCCCACAGTCCTAGGAGTTCCTCCCCACGGTGCTTGGGGGCTGGGAGCCACTCTCCCCAAAACCCTGGTCTCAGGCTCTGCACTGCCTCCCGTAGTGCCCCGGGGCTGGGGGGTCTCCTGAAACCCCCTCCCTGGCGCCCTGCCCACTTTATTCCAGTCTTCTTAGGGATCACCACACGCCCTACGGAGCGCGAGCCCGAGCCCCAGCCCCAGCCCCAGCCCCACCCAGGGGAGTGGGGTTCCAGGCGCCGGTGCCCGGGAGGAGAAGGGTCCCAGCGCCGCCGCTTCACCAGCCACCGGTCCGCACCTGGCTCCCTTCTCCACAGGGGTGGAGCCTGGACGAAGTCCCCCACCCCTGCCAGACCCCGGTAGGGGGTCTGCGACGCGAGGTCCCCACGCGCGCCCCCAAAGTTGCCGCGGGGGAGGGGCTGCTCCCCGCCTGGGGCCGAGCCCCCCGCCCACTTGGCCCCGGCCCCTGCCCGACCCGCTCACCTCGGGCGCACAGCGCCAGCCGGAGCAGCTCCAGCAGCTGCGCCCCCAGCTCGCACGCGTCCAGGCCCAGCATGGTGGCGCGCGGCCCGGGCAGCCGCGGAGCTGCCGAGGAGCCGCCGCCCGCCCCGCCGCCGCCGCCCCGCTCGGCGCTCAGCCCCGGCGCGACTGCGGTGAGCTCATCCCGGCCGGGAGCGCCCCCCGCGCCCAGCGCCGCGCCCGCGCCGCGCGCCCCCAGCCGCTCCGCGGACCCCGCGCAGCCCCGCAGAGACACGCGTGTCGCCCGCACGGCGCCGGTACCCGGGTCGCCCCCGCCGCCTGCGCGCCAGAACCCCGCACGGAAGCGGCCTCGGTCACGATCCCCGCCGTACGCCCTACCCGGGCCGGGCTCTGGTCCGCAGGGCTGCCCCACCCCCACGGCGCAGCGGGAGCCTGGAGGGGGATCGCCTGGGAAACCCTCTGTGCGGGGCGCGGTGGCGCAGGTGCGCCCCCTCCCCAGGGTCTCATTATCCACGATCCACACCTGGGGCCAGACCGTGCTCTCCTCCTCCCCCTCCCCCGCCCCCGAGGGAGTTTCTGTCTGAGCAGAAGGGGACTCCTGGGGCCTGCCCAGCCTTGGGGTGAGGGGCTGGCCCATCACCCTACAGGTTGGCGGTCATCAGTAGGCTGGGACGACAGTGGGCACCGGTCCCACACACGCCGAGGTGCGTCTGGAGCCGCAGAAGGGTACAAGGACCTCTCAAAGGCTTAGTGACCTGGCTGGGCTGTGAGAGTTCCCAGGAGGGGGTGTCCCTGCAGGGCTCTTGGAGACCCAATTACCAAGACCCCTGGTCCCTGGGGAAAGGACACTGACAAGGAGCAGAACCCCAAGGTGTGGGAGTGCAGAGACCCGTACAAACAAGGAGCTTCTGATCTTGACACCTAAACTGAGACCTGGGGTGGGGGGGCGGGACCAGGCAGGGGTCGGGGTGAGCAGGCTCTGGCTGGGACAGCTGGACCAGGCCTGGGCATGAACAAAGAAGGAGTCAGAACACGAGCCGGAGCCCCTTTCTTAGACACCTTTGGCCCCCCCCGTTCCTGTTTCCGGGACACCCTGAAACTAGACCCAGCTTGCCAAGGAGCTCAATTTGAGCAGACCACCTTTCGTGCTAGGGGGCACTGGGGTTTGGGTGGGGACTCTCTCCCTTGGCCCCTCGCCTGCCAACACTCTTTCCAAGGCCCGATCCTGTGAGGTTGGGCCCCCTGTAGAGCCCCACCTCTGCTGCCCCTTCATTGCAGGGAGTGGGGGCTGTTCGGACGCTTGTCTTCAGACCGACGGCTCCAACTCCTGCAGCTATTACCGGAGAGAAGGCCTTGACGGTGAGTTGTCCACGTTCTTGGCCAGATGAACAAAGAATTCAACAAAACACACCAAGTAACAGAAGAACAACGAAACACGGAGTAAGGAAAGCAGAGATCTACAGAAGACACTTGAGCCTCCTCAATGAGGATTTTTATCAAGCCAGAGGAAGCGGCTGAAGCCCCATGGCCTTTAAAGGCCTCCAGTAGGCTACACCCTAGGAAGGACTGGCCCGAGACCAATCAGAGGCTGAAGTGGAAACTGTATTGGTGTCACAGGAGCGAGGCCGTGGCTGCGTGCTGCTCAATCCTGCCTAGAACTGGCTGCACCTGCTGCTCCTTTGCTGCCGTCCCAACCCTTGGCTACCCTCAGTCCCGATTCCCCTGCCTCACAGCCACCATGGATGCCCACACCTGCGGACGGGGCAGCCAGACCTAAGCCAGCCTCACCCCACCTGTGCGAGGGGTGCGGGGGGGTGGGGGGGACTCACTGGGATCCAAGGGAGATGGCACCCTGGGGATGAGACCCTGCAAGCACCCTGCCCCAGCTCATGCCGGACCTGGCATCTCCAGCAATGGAAGTGGACTCAGGCCGCCACGTTAGGGACTCCTACTCAAGGGCGGCCCCAAGCATTCCCTGAATGAGGGAGGTACTCTGCCGTCGAGAAAACAGAAATAGGCCAGACGTAGTGGTACACATCTGTAGTCCCAGCTACTCAGGAGGCTGGGGTAAGAGAATCGCTTGAACCCAGGAGTTAGAGGCCGCAGTAAGCTATGATTGCACCACTGCACTCCAGCCTGGGTGACAGAATGAGACCACCATCTTTCAAAAAAATAAATACATAACCATGCCTCTAATCCCAACACTTTGGGAGGCTGAGGCAGGAGGATCACTTGAGGCCAGGAGTTTAACAGCCTAGGCAACATAGCAAGAAGCTGAGGCCCTTGAGGGCAGGGATGAGCAAGGGGCCGAATGTATATTTATCTACAAAATAAACGGAAAAAAAAAATTAGTGGCCAGGCATCGTGGCTCACCCCTCTAATCCCAGCATTTTGGGAGGCCGAGGCAGGTAGATCACTTGAGGTCACGAGTTTGAGACCAGCCTGACCACCGTGGTGAACCTCGTCTCTACTAAAAATACAAAACAATAATTCAAGGACATGACAAAAATAATATTCAAAAAACAAAAATACAAAAAAAAAAACAAATTAGCTGGGCATGGTGGTGCACACCTGTAATCCCAGCTCCTGAGGCACGAGAATCACATGAACCCAGGAGGCAGAGATTGCAGTGAGCTAAGATTGTGCCCTGCACTCCGGCCTGGGCAACAAAGGAAACTGTGTCTCAAAACAAACCACCACCACCACCACAAACTAGCCAGGCATGGCGGCACCTGTGTGTGGTCCCAGCTCCTCATGAGCCTCAGGTAGGATTGCTGGAGCCCGGTGAACCGAGGCTGCAGTGACCTATGATCGTGCCACTGCACTCCAGCTGGGTGACAGAGGTCGTGTCTCAAAAATAAAAAAAAAAATAGGGGCTGGCACAGTGGCTCACACCTGTAATCCATTTTGGGAAGGCCAAGGCAGGTGGATCACCTGAGGTCAAGAGTTCAAGACTGATCTGACCAACATGGTGAAACCCCAAATCTACTAAAAATACAAAAATTAGTTGGATGTGGTGGTGCTTGCCTGTAATCCCAGCTACTCAGGAGACTGAGGCAGGAGAATTGCCTGAACACCCGAGGCAGAGGTTTCGGTGAGCCGAGATCGACCCACTGCCTGGGCAACAAGAACGAAAGTCCATCTCAAAAAAAAAAAAAAAATCCAACTTACTTGGCATCAGGAGTTTAAGACCAGCCTGGCCAACATGGTGAAACCCCATTTCTTCTAAACATGTCAAAATTGGCCAGGTGTGGAGGTTCACACCTGTAATCCCAGCACTTTGGGCGGCTGAAGCGGGCGGAATACCTGAGTTCAGGAGTTTGAGACCATCCTGGCCAACATGGTGAAACCGCATCTCTACTAAAAATACAAAAATTAGCTGGGCATGGTGGCACACAGCTATAATCCTAGCTACCCAGGAGGCTGAGAGAATTGCTGGAACTTGGGAGGAGGAGGCTGCAGTGAGCCAAAACCATGCCACTGCACTCCAGCTTGGGCAACCAGAGACTGTCTCAAAAAAAAAAAAAAAAAAAGTCCAGGCGCGGTGGCTCACACCTATGATCCCAGCACTTCGGGAGGCCGAGGTGGGTGGATCATGAGGTCAAGAAACCAAGACCATCCTGGCCAACATGGTGAAACCCTGCCTCTACTAAAAATACAAAAATTAGCTGGGTGTGGTGGTGCACACCTGTATTCCCAGCTACTCGGGAGGCTGAGGCATGAGAACTGCTTGAATTGAGGAGGTGGAGGCTGCAGTGTGCCAAGATTGCAGGTGGGCCGTGAAGGGCCTGGGGCTGGCTCAGGGTCCACCTCTGGGCTGGGCACAGCAAAGCAGTTGGAGGAAGGAGAGTGCTGGGCGTGGAAGGGCCCGAAGCCAGGCAGCTGCTGGTGAAACTAGGTGGGGAGGCTGTGTGTTGAGATCCTCTCTGCAGTTAAGCTCCTCTCCAACAGTCCCAGGGCACTCTGAGCAGAGTCTCTGCCCATTTCCCCAGCGGGCACACCCAGGCCCCTGTGAAACTGAGGGAAGCGAGCCATAAG